ACACACATACACGCAATCACACACATACTACACTCACTCACTCTCTCTCTCTCTCTCTCTCTCTCTCTCTCTCTCTCTCTCTCCCTCTCTCTCTCTCTCTCTCGGCAAAGTGGTGTAACATTCGACCACTGCGTAATTACTCGTAGATGTTCATGTGCCGGTACTTCAACCTTAGACCCAGTAAGTGCACACTGTCAGCTTGATTCATTAGACTGAGTCGCGGACAGGCACGGTTTCCTTCAGGAAGGGACATGTATGAGTTTTACAGCACTTACAAAGTTATAAGGACATACAAATGTCGATTTTTTTAGAGGTGGTACATGCGGCATTATGGAATCACTGACAAAATCGTAAAGCTTGTGAAGACCTCCTATGATGGAACATACTGCCAAGTCTTCCACGAAGGACAACTCTCAGAACCATTCCAGGTACAGATAGAAGTGCGACAAGGATGCTTGCTTTCACCTTTTCTCTTCATACTAGCAATTGACTGGATCATGAAGGAAGCCACCAGAGGCTAGCGCAATGGAATACAGTGGATCCCTTGGCAGCAGCTGGACGACTTGGACTTCGCCGATGACCTTGCACTGCTCTCTAACACACAAGCTCAGATGCAAGAAAAGACCAAGGAACACGACAGCCTATCAAGGAGTGTTGGCCTACGTATACACCCGGGCAATTCAAAAGTAGTGAAGCTAGGAAAAGTATCAAGCCCTGCTGTGACAGTGGAATACACTCCCCTGGAAGAAGTGAACTCTTTTGCCTACCTTGGAAGTGTCATCGATGGTAAAGGTGGAACCGAGGCAGATGTTAAAGCAAGAACCGCCAAGGGAAGGTCAGCATTCAAGCAATTATCAAAAGTCTGGAAAACAAGCAACTGCGCACCAAGATTCCACTCTTTCATTCCAATATCAAGTCTGTGCTCCTCTACGGCTGCGAAACTTGGAAGACAACAAAGACAGTGCAGAATAAAGTCCAGACCTTCATCAACAGATGTATGAGTATGAGGAGTATCCTAAGAATTAAGTTGCAGGATAGAATAAGAAATGAAGAGCTATGGGAAAGGACAGGACAAAAGGATAATATGGAAGTAGAAATAGGACTAAGAAAGTGGCGTTGGACACACCTTCAGAAAGCCCAGCGGAAACATCACAAGACAGTCACTGCAATGGAACCCACAGGGAGCACGAGGCAGGGGTAGGCCACGGGAAACATGGAGGAGATGTTTGGAAAGGGACATGAGAGAGATGAAGCTCACTTGGAACCTAGCTACGAAGGATGGCCCAGGACAGAGATAAATGGAAGGAGCTTGTATGTGGCCTCTACCCTGCCAGGGGTTTAAGGCACTGATGATGATGATGGTGATGATGATGACAAGAGAGTCACAAACAAAAAAAGAAGGAGGAAAGATAAGGACTCAGGACGATAGATGTTTGATAGCAAAGAAGGAGCAAACCACATCTCCATACAAGGAACAAGTGCTACAAATTCTGATCTCCCCCCCCCCCTAATCCCCACGCCATGGAGGTTAGAAACTTGTTGTTTTTCTTTTTTATTTGTTTTTTCTTTTCTCTCTTTCTTCTTTTTACTTCTCTCATACCTTCTTGACTTTTCTGATCCAGCAGCCATTTGTGTTCTAGTCCTTCTCTCATAATTTTCTTCTGTTTTCCTCATTTTTTCTTTCTTTCTTTCTTTCTTTCTTTCTTTCTTTCTTTCTTTCTTTCTTTCTTTCTTTCTTTCTTTCTTTCTTTCTTTCTTCTTTTCTTCTTTTCTTTTCCTTTTGTTCTTTTCTTTCTTTCTTATTCTTTTCTTCTCATCTTTGTTTGTTTGACTGGATTGAAGATGAATCCTCGGTACAGATCTAAGTAAAGCAGATTGGCACCTAGTAGATCTATAAAAAGCCGCACAGACAAAAATGTAAGCATGTACGCGTACACAGAAATGAAGACGCCCCGCCCCTTCTCCAGATGCCTCCCCGACAGGGTCCTGGAAAGTAGAAAGCAGATTGTTACACACTCACACACACACACACACACACACACACACACACACACACACACACACACACATACACACACACACACATATACAATCATACATGCATAAACACACATGCACATACATGCATACTCACACACGCACACACACACATACACACGTACGCACACAGAACCATGCATACACACATGCACATACACGCACAAACAAACACACACACAAACACACGCACTCAAACACACACACACACAACCATGCATACACGCATAAACACATGCACACACATGCATACACACACATACATCACACCTACACACATGCATACCCACATACATTCTCACACATACATACACACACTCACACACACACA